TTATTGGCAACAATACATCGAAACACCACCTTTTGCCACCACCAATATCAAAATTGGGTCCACCACCAGATGTTTTGCATCCACTTGAATCTTAGGCACCAGAACCACCAGACCCGCCGGCGCCACCTCCCTCTTATTATCCCTTTGTGTTCCACTGCCTTTATCCAAATATGCCACATTGCCACTGAAGAAATACCACTCCTCTCCAAAAGTACCATTCCTTCTCTCTCTTGTACTCATTTTCACTGCTTCTTCTTATTTGCTTATTTGTTCTCTCTCTCACTTTCTATAATTCAAGCTTTTAATTCGCAATAATTCCCCAAATTAGTATTTTATTGTCTGTACCCAAAGCATCTGATGTCAGCTACAGAGTATGAGAGTATTTAAACCCAAACGGGTTAATTGGATCGGGTAAGTGTTGATCGAATAAATTTGAGCTTGGCTGCTACTGCTGCTGGAATTGTCAGTTCGCTGTAATATCAGCCCACTCTCAATTTCTTCATCTGACTTGTATGGAACTCCCTCCAAATTTCTCCGATGGAGAATCCACTTGGAGAAGTGAAGGCATGGTTGGGACGTATACCTCTGTTTCCATTCTTTGTGTTGGATTATTGGGAACGAGTTGGGGCAAAGAACCCATCATCCCTGAACTCATGCAATCAAATTTTCATGTGCCAATGCTTTGAACATTGCTTTTATAATGGAATGTGGAATTCAAATCAGCCCCCCACAACGTCCACAGCACATGTAGATGTAGCCAACTGATGAGTGTCACGTGCAGTGTTAGAGAGACCAAGTGAGAGGGAGAGTTAGTTGTCATCCCTTAGAGCTGTAGTGTGGTCCCAGATGAGTGAGGTTGTGTCTGAGTTGCAGTAACAGGAACTGTGATAGAGAGACATCTGCATATGGGAAGTGATTCTCATCAAACTAAACATGTCGCCAGGCAATGATCCTACTTGTAGAGGGTAAGTAGCAGTGATATCCTTTATGCATAGCACTGTAACCAAGGAACACAAGCCGATGTGCCTGGCACCGACTTTTCAACATTAAAATGTTTCTTGTAGATCCAACACAGAATCCAGAAGTTGGTGGCTTATTTCTTACCCGAGAGCTTCTATTCTTCCTTTGATGAGGCTCTGAAAGTGCAAGGGATTTGGGTGGTTTGGCTCTAAACTTGAGGATTTTGGGAGGTCCGGAGGAGCTTTACTGAGCATTGTTCATGTTTGTAGTGAGTTTCGGTGACTTCAATGTCGGTAAGTGTGGGGCTGATGAACTTGGTGGGGTGCCGGTTTAGGGCCAGGCCACGCTACCATGGCGTTGGAGGAATCGTGGGGCAGTATATGTTTGGGGGAGTAGGGGAAAGTGATGCACTAGGGATTTTATGAAAAGGGGGTATTTTAGAAATTTTCATAAAAATATATTAATCACGTGATGTCACATGTGACAGAGTCCAATGGAAAGTTAAAGACAATTGTCAAAAAATTTAAGGGTACTTTAAGACAATATATAAATAATAAGGATAGAGTTAGTCAATTTCCAAAACCATGGGGGTACTTTAAGAAATTTATCCTTTGATTGTCGCTGAAACTACTTTTATTAAAGGATGAACAACTGTTACTATAAGTTTGACGTGATTTTTTTAGTGGCAGTCGTGATTGCCACTAAATCTTTATTTGTTTTCATATAACCTATTTTTTTTTTAAATTATTCCTGATTTGCTTCAAATAACATGTTTTCCCTACATTCATCTAAATTGGAATGAAATACAAAAATCAAAATATCAATTACAAATGCAATTTTGAAAGTCTATTCTTCATTCAAAATTTTTTTCTACAAAAAAAAAAAATCAAAACATTTGATCACAAATTAATGCATCTTTGCTTTAAGTCGATAGACTCTTTAATACAAATTTCATCATCCATTCTCAAAATTCAAAACACTTGATTTACAAAAATTCACCCAAAATCCAAAAAATATGCACGAAAGGATGAAAACAATCATAAACAAACTCGGGGTAAGAATGAAATCACATTTTTTCATTTTTTCTAAATGTTTGTTTACAAAAATTTCACCATATACCTCATTCATTTTAGATTGAAAAAATGAGTTTTAGCATAAAAATTGAGCCAACTTGCAACATAAAAAATAATAATGTCTCATATTGCTCATTTTCATTCTTTAAACAAATTCTATGTTAGCGGTCATAGAATTTTTACCCACCAATATATGCAATTTTTTATCAATGGATGCCCAGCAGTCTATCGTGGAAACTTGTGGTGACGGACATTGTCTATTGGCCATCTGTCGGTGGTTTTTAAGCAATATGATGCTCTATTTTATGATGTTTTACTATGTTTTATGACATATTTAATATATTATCTTTATTTAATATACTATTTGATGAAATTGTTAGACAATTTTTACTTTTTCATGTTATTAATTTTTTTTTAATTTTAAAAAATTTAAATTCCATTTCTATTTTGAAGCTCCAAGCTCTTTTCTTCTTTTGTACAATTGCCTAATCAATTCAACAAAATAATTTCCTTTTAATTAGTTTTAAATAGGTGTGAATTGCTTCTTCTAAATTTTCTCTATGTAACCAAATGCAAAAGCTTTTCTAGTTTCTTGTCCTTTTTCTTTTCTGTAGCTTGTAGGGCCCACATGGTTGATCGGTGTTTTGTTTGCATGTTTTCATTATATATTTGCTAATGAGTGTTGTATGTATACCTATATTACTATTTTGGTTGATTAAAACATTATTGGAAATGAAATTTGAAGCCAAATGGGTTCAAAATCTATTCTCTATCTTGTCACAAAAAGAATTCATTTTTTGAAAAAAAAAAAAAATGTTTGGTTCATAGTAGCATTTTCTCATTTTACTCATTTCTATCCATTCTTATCCATTCTAGATTTTTTTTTTATTGGAATGAATAAAAATGAGAGTTGAACCAAATATGGCCCAATTCGCCACCACACCAAACCATGGAATTAAGCAAGAGACCATTGGCTCTGTGTTTTTGATTTATTTATCAAAACTTAGGCTACAATATTTGGTTGCAGCATAAATGAAATTTGCACTAGTGAAAATGCATGGGTGTGCAGGAGGGTTGTAAATTCTAGTTTACTTTTGATTTAGATTTGACTTTGCCTTATTGGTTTGTGAGAAGTAAAATAGCGCAGTAAAAATATGAGAAGACATTTCCAGCATGCAAGCCCCAATGGAGACCGGATCTGCTCCTCACACAGGGCGTCTCACTCGTGCCTTACACGCACATCGTACCATGCATTGGGAACATCTCACGTACTTATAAGTTATTATTCACGGGAGACGTTCCCAATGCGCAGTGGATGTGCATGTGAGGCGCCCCTGTGTGAGGAGCAGATCTCATTCTGCCCTAATGTAACCAACACACTTGAAATAAAAGTTTAGTTGATGTGATGCCTTAAATTATTGCAAACGCTGTATTTACATTTTATTGAGGGGTCTCAGAATTGTTGTACAACCGCAGGAAATGCGAGATGTCATCCCCATTTTATACGAGAAAGAATTGAGGCAAGAGGAAGGTGGTGCAAATTTTGCATCAATTTTTGGAATGCAAAATTTTCACTGCAGTACAAAGGCTTTGTTTGGATGCAGTACTGCAATTTTATTTGCATTAGTATAAATGCATGGAGTGCAAATATAAAAATGTAATTTCTTGTTTAATTTTATTTTGGATTTTACTTTATTTTGTTTCATGTCATAATTTACTTCATTTGTACTGCAATCAAATAAAATAAGCTAAAATTTGAAATAACAAATAGGTCAGAATTTACACTCAAATCATTTGCACTGCCATAGTTTTGTATCAGTACAAATTTATTTGCATTGCAATCAAACATAGGCAAAATATACAAATTTTATATCATATAGAAACACAAATAATAATCACAAACAAACAAAATCCAAACTGAACTGGGTGCTAATTTTGCACCCACTGCAACCAAACCCATCCTTAAGAAGGAAGGGACAAGCTGGGATCGAGTTTCATCGCCCAAACAACAATTTGATCATTTTGTTTTAATTTGTAAGTCTCAACATATAATTCTTGTGGTACTGGACCTACTGGTACATGAATTTGATGATCAAATTTGAAAAATTAACATTCAAATTAGGGCACTGATGGAATGTCAAGCCGAAAGGGTTGCACCCTTTTGTTCTTAGGGTCCATTTGGTTCGTTGTTAGAATCAGAATCAAAATCGAATCAAAATCTCTTGAAATTAAAATTGGAGTGATTTCATTCTCTCAAATGAAAAATGCCATTCTAGCAACCAAACAATTGGAATATTCCAAATGGGTCATTCATCCGATTCCTATTCTAGACCTAACCAAACAAGCTCTTAAGTGGCTGTTTGGCATCGTTGCCATTTCTTGGAGCAACGGTGCCACATCAGCGCCACATCGGAAAAAAATGGTGTTTCAATAAATAGACATTTGTTTGGAACCGTTTTTCCATAAAAAAAATTGTGCTCCAAGTCATGCCTCGAAAATCAGGAAGCCACGACTTGGACCAACGCTAAATTTGGCATTTCCAATAAGGCAGTGATGTGGCACTGGATAATGGGTACCAGTGCTGAAAACGTTTCCTGGAGTAATGGTACCAAACAGAAAAAATTGCTGTTGCTCCATAAACATCCCACGGGATAACAATAATTTTAAACAAAAATAAAGACCATTTTCTGAGAAAATGATGCTCCAAGCGACAGACATCCGTGCTGCAACTGCAGCATCGATGCCAAACATATACCAAGTTTCCTCGTGTTTGAATTGATGGGCCCTCTGCAACCAAAGTTGTAAGAGGGGCTTCTCACGATGAGTCAATCAATTTCAGGGGTAAGTTAAATACAGTGATGGTGGGGAGATGGGACCTTTCTCACCCTCCTGTCTATTACGTTGTTCATTTATCTCCCGAACAGAAATGAAAACCAATGAATTCTGGACCGGTAAGATTCTCAGATGATCAGGTCAATCAAATGAGTGCTTACCATTGATTGACTGGTACGTAGACAGACCGCCGTAGCCATGAAGCAACATTGAATGCACAATTAATGAATTACGTGGTCTCAAACCTATCAGAAATCCGATCAGTCAACATCCAAGTACAGCACGTTTACGGTAGTACACAAGCCCATAACCATATAGCTCAAACGGCGCCATGGCAAACACAGAAGAGCCAATAGATTCATAATACTAAGCTGCTGTAATCTAATAAGATCGCCGGCGGAGGTTCAAAACGCCGAGCACCACCAACAAGAGAAACAGGAGGGACCCGATGAGAGACACGACGATGGAGGCCGTGACCTGGCGACAGTAGGTCCCGAACACGTCGCAAACCTTCTGCCAGTTGGCGTGCGAGTTGCCTTCGTAGCCGACGACGCCGATGGCCGCAGCGGCCCCATTGCCGGAGAAGAGCAGCCCCACCATCATCACGTCGAGGACGATGATGGCCAATGAAAAGGCGTCGGTTCCGGCTTGTTTCGCAAGTGATAGCAGCAGAGACAACGCTGCATAAGCACAGGCTATGGCGTTCGACACCAGGAAGTATCTTGACAAAAGTGAAAAATCAATAAAACCCAGTTAATTTAGTGATCTCAACCAATGGATAACAAGTTATCAACTAAAGGGTAGTACTTTTAGGAGGTCTATTTACATGAATGATGTTGTGTTGTTGTTGGTGGTGATGTGGTCTAGTGTTCGATCCTCTCCTCCTTACCTCCATTATAATTAATTAAGTTTCAAATCAAGATTTGGGTGGGCTGTGCTTTTCACAGTTCAAGCCCAATGGGCCCTCGTGTGAGGAGCCGTGTATAATATGTGCTGCACTAACCAGTGATCACTAGGTGCAGAAGTGCTCCCTCCTCCCAACAGAGACCACTGTGCCAGGGCAGCAGGGAACAAAGCACACCAGGTGCTGTGATGGCCATGGAAGTTTAGAACACTACTCCCTAATCAAGGGTGTTTTCTGGGTAAAAAAACACTCCCCAAACCATGCTTTATATTGTTGTCATTTTGTTGTACACTTGACACCAGAAATTACTCTAAAACAGTTCTACTGCAACTCATTAAAGCTCAACAACCAAACATCAGTTAATTATGAGGTGAATTGGTGAATCAAGCTAAGGTGGTCAAGGGTTGCAGTAACAAGCTTAGCTGCAAAATTTATCCAGACAAGCAAAGAATTCCACTACATATAAAGATAAATATATATATATATATAGTTATATCAAAGCATCTTCTGTTTGTTCTTTTTGCCACTGGGTTCATATATAGACATTAAGTTTCATGTCCAAGCTGCCCAACCAAGAGAGGGGGATAAATCTTCAAGCCCAAAAGCTATAAATACCAAATCTGCTATGTTTTCAGCAAAGCTGAGATGAATGCCTAAATAAATGAGATTTGAGTAAACGGGAAAGGGAAGAAGATAAGGTATCTGAGTTCAAACCAAAAATAACAAAAGAAGAGGGAGAATAATGAGAAGGATGCTTACACCAAAGCAGAGGAGTAGCGAGACTTAGCAGTAACAGAAATTTTGTAGGGTGAAAGGTTAGGGAGGAGGGGGAAAGAGACAACCTTAGTCTCCCTAGCAACACCCATCACGGTGGCCGCCACCAGGGTTGTGGCCAAAGCCAGTAGTCGAAGTAGGAAGTCCGACGACCTCACACCTCTTGGGTTAGCCACTTCAGTCCCCTTCCCTCCGCTCTCAATCCCCCCTTTTCCTTCCACAGTATTGGCAGCCTTATATTGGGTCTGGCTGCTCTCCATTTCCTACGCTCTTGCAAGAATTTTCTTCTGCAACTCCTTTGCTGACAAAGTGGCTTCACTGCTTGTAAAGTAGTATATATATATCAGAGAGAAATAGAGGAATATATAGAGTTATATGGAGAGGAGCTGGATGGTAGTTGTGATAAATAATTAATTTATTAGGCCATTGCTTATTTGGGTTTGTATTAAAACATTTTTCCCTGATATTCCTCAAGTTATAAATTTTAACCATTGACTTAGACTCCATGGAAGTACCATCGAGATTCACATCAATTGACTAAGCTTACCTTCTCACAAGGGAGGAAGTTATAATCTAAATGGGTAAATCCACTTTGAATTACTGAGCTAGAACTAGACTGACTGACTTTAGACCTTAGACTTTTCTCATTTCAACCATGTGGAGGGTTGATTTGGTTAATTTTGACCACCCATCATTTAATGAATGGGAGAATGAATTGAACTACATATATATAATTCATTGCAAGATTGATCATTTAGGTTAGTAATAAACACCAACAAACAAAACCCCAACTGGGTCCTTTCTTGAGATCTGTAAAGATCTTTCCACCTCGTCTGCTCCTCTGTATCTCATTCGTTGACTTTAACAAGATATGATTAGTGTTTGTGAAATGACCACGCAACCTTTCTTGTATATATTTTAGTCATCTACCAGTTTTATTTTATTCTATGGGGAAGGCTCCCTAAAGATGTCAGCTGATGAGTGATGAACTAGATTGCTGCATGTACTGCCATTTTATCTATTATTACAGTCTCCTGGGTGGAATATAATACTGATGTGGCTCTTTCAGACCATCTATCATACGCTGGGCTTGCATTAGATATGATCAAAAGATGTTAATTCTAGTTCCATTCAACCCTATCATCTCCTACTGTAAAGCAATGGTTGCTGTTGATTTCTCAAATCTTGAGTGATTTGAGAGACACCCATAAGCAATAATAAGATTATAGGAGATGATAATTAAGTGGTTTGTTGGGCTGAAACTTCCACATTTGGATGAGAGCTATTTGAGCAAGAATCCGTTTAGTCTATCATGCTGAAATCCTGGGGCTGAGACTCATATATTCAAGAGACTTGCCTTGTTAAAATATCCCTTGTATATGATGACAAATGTAGTCTACCTAGTATGGAAATAGTTCAGTCTATGGGTTAGCCAATAGCCATTACTACTATACTACTTTTAGGGTTTGGCTTTTCAAAGAGATTACATCTTCATCCAACTAGTAATGATGATAAAAAGAACCTTTCATAAAGAAGAAGAAGAAGAAGAAGAAAGCAATCGCATGACTACAACTATATTTTGGAGTGAAGGAGAGATAAACACAATAATCAATCCACCCATTTGCATGTTAGTTGTCTCAAATAAATGTTCAACCCATCCATACCTTATGTTAAAATCGAATTAATTATAATGGGGTAATTAATTAACAAGGATAGAACACTGGACCACTTAATCAAACGTTGTTAATACTATCTTAAAGAACCATTCAACCTAAAAGCTTAAGTTGAAAGAGCTTTTACATTCATTGAACTGCTATAAGAACCGACAATGGTTGAGCGTGAGTGTTCCAGATGAGCTATACCTAGGGTAACTTCACTCAAAAATCATAAAAATGGCATTAGGCCGGAATGCTCATGTCTGCATTCCGAATTTTTACCAAGCATAACTTCTACATTTTTCATGTGAGGCCCATCTTGAAATGCGAGAAGCTGCTATGCGAAAGCCTTCCCAAACAGGCACTTATTCTCTACATAGAGCACTTCTTTTATTGGGTCGAGCATGATGACATTAACCTCCAATTTTATTAGGGTTGCAAATGAATCAGATTAGTTAATCTGATTTTAATTTTGAATTTGATTTATTCAAGTCAGATTAAAATATCCATTTAGTACTAGATCAAATGGGATCTGAAAACATGACCCATTTACTAATTGAATTGAATTTGGATCATGCTAAACCATCCGCTAGGACTAATTTGATCTTATAAGATTATATTATAAACATAGTCATATTGAATTTTATATTTAGATAAATTTATTTTTACTATTAAATTTATAAATTTATGTTAACTTTACATAAATTTACTGTCATTTTACCCCCTATATCCGAAGAGGGAATTAGTGCTTAATAAGGTGAAATTCCTATGGCTGAGAAGAGATCTATTCTAATTAGCTGATGGGTCTCACCCCAGAAAAGATCCAACAAAGAAATTCCACTTGATGGGTCCCACGTGAGAAAATATCTAAGCACAAAGAAACAGCCTAATCAGTCAATCCTATAGGCATGTTCCAGTTTAATTTGGCGCTTTTGAAGAATTTTTAACAAAAGTACAAAACCATTTTCTTTTTTCGTACTTGTGCTTTTTTGTTTTTTGGTATGATAATTGGAGACCACAAATGGCAATGGAAATTTTCTTCTAGTTAAAAGTGGGAAATTGTGTATATCTCCTCCCAAAATGGCAAGGATATTGTTATAATTAAGGGAGGATGGCAACAGGGCGAGTTTGATGAGGATTTTATAAATTTAGATTTTATTTTTCCTAAATTTCTCAATCTATATCTGTCCAAGAACTATAGTTTTGGATTTTGAAAACCTACATTCAAGGGTAGGGTGGATTGGGTTTAAACCCGTATCTAATTTCTTATTATTTTGTGTTATAAGTAAAATATCATAAATAAGTATCAAAATTTTAATTATTTGATTAAGATATGTAAAAAAAAAAATATAAACTATCAATTGTCCTTTACATAAAATTTAAAATATTATTAAATCAACACCTAATAAATAAACTATGCTCTCCAACAATATTTGGATTAGGGAAAGTTGGGTTTAGTCTAATACCGTACCCTATTAGTACCCATATAGGTTATATAATCCCATCCTTATAAAACAACTAATTGGAGATTATAATGAGAATTAGTGGAAAGCAACCTCCCGGTATGGTTTGGTTTGGAGGAGCTTAGTGAAGATGACTGCTGACGAGTATGAAACTTGTAAATTTTTATGTAGATAAAGTAGTTTAGGCTAGGAAAAGGTGCTAAGAGAGTAAGAGTACAAAAGGCATAGATAGAGAGGTAGAGGAAGTAGGGAGAGGAATTTGGTTTGATTGCTGATCTTTAGGCAGTGTTTGGTTGCAGCATTAGTATAAAAACATGGGAGTGCAGATGAAAAAAAAAATGCAAATTCTCATTCAACTTTGTTTTGGGTTTTAGTTTATTCTGCTTCCTGTCTTAATTTACGTTATTTGTACTGCAATCAAACAAAATAAGCTAAAATTTAAAACAAAAATAAGTCATAATTTACACTCAAATCATTTACACTGTCATAATTTTGCATCAGTGCGGATATATTTGCATTGCAACCAAATACAGCCTTAAATTCCTTCTTTGTTTGGGTTAGGGTGTCTTAGAGATGTTTTTTGTACATTTTTTGTTTTAATTGGTTTTATCCTGAGCCAATTTCTTTCTGTCCTGTTGGCTTTCTTCTTTCATGGGTAGGGGGTGCTTGGGCTACGACGAATCAGTCCTCAACCGATTATTAATCAGATCTGTAAGTTAGACCCTGATCAAATTGAACCAGTCCTCAACCCAATTAATTGGGCTGACCCGGCATCTATAATTAGTTATGATAATATCAATTTAGAACTTTATTTTTAACAATATAATCTTAATAAAAATAATAATTAGTGTATGCATATACGATCAGTTTGGGTTTTAATCAGTTCAGAATGACAATAGGAATTTATCCTGATTCATTAATTATTAATCGGGATACAAATCACAGGACCAAAACCGATGTAACCGGTTTGGTATATTTGGTTTTATTGGTTAGACCCATCCCATTGATAGCCCTATTTATACAGTATAGACCTAGCAATCGGGTTGGGTGGGTCGGGTTCGGGTTGGGTCAAGATATTTCGGGTTGATTTTGGGTCGGATTGAATTTCGGGTTGGGTTGTCAAGTGCTCGACCCTAATCCTAAATGTTTGGGTTAGGGTTGACCCATGGGTCAATTCGGGTCATCCCAAAAAATAATTGAAATTTAAAAAAATTATATGAAAAATGTCAAAATTAAAAGAATTAACCTTAAAATTTCAAATATAAAATAAAGACTTGAACATTTAACAATTTAAAGAGTAAACAATAAAAAGTAAAGACTAACTAGAAAAGAATTAAAGAGTGAAAACTTCTAACAATACATAAATAGTTCCAATTAGACTTGACAATCGGGTCAACGGGTTGATCCATGACCCAACCCAACCCAGTTTTTTGGGTCGGGTCGGGTCGTTTTCGCATTCGGGTTGCTAAATATGAGACCCTGACCCTATTTTTTTGGGTTGGGTTTACGGGTTGGGTCAACTTTTTGCCAGGTCTACAGTTGAATGTTAAGAGTTGGTTTAATTTTAAGGCTGTGTTTAGTTTGAAGAAAAAAATAGGGAAAGGAAAAGAAAGATAAGAAAATCTTTACAAACCATGTATAGGTTTTCTCTATCTTTCACTTCAAACCAAACATTAGTGAAAAGCAAGGAATTTGATATGGCTTTAATCGGAAGAAGATACCAATGTTCATGTTGATAGTAGTCCATGCTGTCTTGCCTGCATAGATAGACAGCTAAAGTTTTCTTGGCATCAATTAACAAGAATCAAAATATCGATACACCCAATACCTAAAAATGGGTATCAGTGCATATCAATATCATCGATACTCGTCTTTTTTTTTATTTTAAATGCCAGAAAGAGCTAGGGATATATAACTTTTATTAATCCCAAACTTTCAAAACCCCCAACCCTATTTGCATCGATGCATCTATACGGTTCGGGGTCCATTGGTATAGATGCAATGCGCAGAATATGTATTGATACTTTAATCCTTGCCTACAATTTCCTTTATAAAAAATTTGCATAATTGCATGTTGGAACACAAGTTACATTCGGTCAAGATGTCGATAATAGCATGTACATAATGTTTAGAAGTTTCCAAGAATAAAACACGAAAGCAAGATGTGGTCGATCGCAAGATGATGTGACAATAGGATTTTCTACAAGCAAAAACTCTATACACACT